TTAAATCACTGTTCCAATGTAAGTGTACCTTTTGGAGTTCTTAAAATATTAACACAAAATTTTGGAACGGAATCTCTATGAGTTGGGTATGCTCTGGGGGCTGTGTCTAGGGCGTCCTCTTTATCATTTGTCTGTATTTGGATAAATGGGGTCGAGCATAGGATAAAATGCTTCAGAATTTGAAGCATCTATTCCAAGATTTTCTGGCAGGGGAGAGCACCTGTTCTTTGCCATCTAGTCAAGGGAGCCATTTTGCCATCCCAATATGTTCAACGTTCTTGAAGTATTCTGGACAGAGGGCCAAGCTTCTCATCATTCCAGGGCGTGCTATGGTTGGGCAGTGGTGATTTATTGTGGGTGTGTGTGTTCTGGCTTAGACAGATGCAATTAAGCCGTTGGGTTGATTTATTTGGCTCTTTCTTGGTATTGTTGAGAGCAGACCACTTAGGGAACTGCCATATAACCTCAAGTAGCCGACTGAGGGTGGAGACTGTGCAAAATGTACAAAAAAATTATGTGATAGATGCTGTAAAGTCAAATGAATAGGAAAAATATAAGAAACAGGGCCAAAGCAAACTCGTGACATCTCAGCCCCCTTTCCTATTTTCCACGTCCTGGAAGTTTGAATACCTAAACAAAGGAAAGTAGGAACCAAGCCACAGTCAGACTTGCCTGCAGAACCACAGGCCAAATGAAGGCGTGCACATCCCTAGGAAATCTGTTTCTCTCCTCATTCTTGTTCATTTAAATGTAATCCTTAGTCATTCTTGTGAGATAATTTTAAAAATAGAAGCTCTGCAATGCATTGGCAGGCTACTTGTTGACAAGCTAAAAGTGTTAGACACTTGATTGTTCCAATGAGGATGAGAAAACCAACAGAAGGTTCTAGCCTGCATGGCAAATGCAACCTTCCTCACTTATTTCTCTTCCTATACTCATTCTTGCTCACCAGTTCCGAGGTTTGATGAATAAAATTCATTTTTAGGGCATGAGGGAGCCTTCTGGCATGCTCCAGAATGTTCTGTAACAGGGGCCGGCAAATTTTTTCTGTAAAAGACCAGATAGTAAATATTTTGGGCTTTGCAGTCCCTACAGTCTCTGTGTCAACTACTCAACTCTGCTGCTGTAGCATAAATGTAGACATAAATGATACAGAAACAAATGGGCCCGCGGGGTTCTACTAAAACTTTACAACAACAGGTGGTGGGTCGTATTTAGTCTGCCTCTAGTTTGCCCACCCCTTTTTTACATCTTGAGTTGAATGATAGTTTTATAAGTATATACATATGGAAACTTTTATCAAGCTAGGCTGGCTATCCTTAAGATCATGCACATGTATATGAATGCCATGCATCTGTTTTAAAAAATAAGATAAAACTTTCCTTTTTAAGAGGCACAGTGCCACAGATTCTCTGGTGAATTCTCTCTAAATGGCACCTGCAATAGGTAAGATATTGATTCAGCAACTTATAACAGGAAACCACAAGGGTGGCTTGAGAGGGCTTCTTTCGCTCTGTTAGCACAGCACGTTAGGGAGCCAGTCTCCTTCTCCTGGGAGCTCTGCTACCTTCGTTTGTCAACTGTGCCTGGTGGAAAAGGGAAAGGGTGTGGCACAGCCTTTCTCTGCTAAGGCATCATTTCTTCTCTAATGCCAGATTTCTCAGGCCAGAATTGAGCCACTTGGCCATGTCAAGCTCTAAAGAAATCTGGATTTTTAGTCTTTATTCTGGGCATCCATGAATCCAATAAAGACTGGGCATTCTGTTATAATGGAAGAAAGAACAAACATTGGAAGTCAACCTGCAATCTGACCTTTGTCTGACAGGGGATATGGTGCCTATTTCCCCCGTGGCTTTTACGGGGCAGTGTACAGATTAGGGGCTATGTAAAAATGGCTGTTCTCCAGATTCTAAATCAGAGACACTACAGAAGATAAATAGTGCTCTGCCTGTATTTATTCCTTTACTAGTAATTATATTTACATGTGAAGTACAATATTATTAAAATTCGACATCCTTCAAAATGAAGCAGAGCCTGTTCTATTGGAGGGGAGGGGTTTAAACAGGCTGGATAATTGTTGGTATGTGGGTAGCCACCCACTATAACGAATCTTCTAGCCACACGAGGGAGCGGAGTATCTTGCCCCAATCCCTGGGCAAGCACTGGCCTCCTTACAGTCGTGGTAAACTACCGGCTCTGAGGGAAGCCTGGGAAGGGCAGGTGGTGAGGCCTTTCAGCGGGGTGTCCCCTCCGTGGCAGTGTGGAGGCCCGGCTTGGTGGAAGCTGGCCAGTGATGGCAGGATCTCCATGCTACCGGGGAGAAGACATGGACTCCAGGCCTCAGTGATTGCAGTGTGATGGCCGTCAAGTTGTTTTACTGCTCTGAGTCCCAGCTTCTCATCTGATATGCTGATGATTCCCACATTCTTCTTTCAAGCCTTGGCTGGGTGCATCCGGAACTTAACATTCAGAGCTGAAGTTATTTTTGGACCTCTTCCCTTGGACGTCTTGCAGGCTGCTCTAACTCCACTTGTCAAAACAGAACTTACTAGGCACCTTCCAAATGGGCTCTGGTCTAGTGCCCACTCCAACTCATTAATCTGAAATGCAAGTAGTTATACTGTTTGAAATGTCTCTGTGCCTTGCTTTTGCTGTTGCCTTGCCTATTATCCCCCTTTCTTCCTTTTCTGGATTCTTTCTTCCAAATAGAAGTCACCTCCTCCAAGGAGACTTCCCTGATACCCTTTTTTCCTCTCACTGGGCTAAGGGCCCCTCCTCTCTGCCCCCATCGTCTCCCAGACGTGTTGTGTTTGCCTCACGGTGTTGTCATTGATTATGCATCTCTGTCTCCTCTCAGAAAGCAACAAGAACGACTGCTTTAATTCACTTAGTACCTCCAGTGCTGAGCACCATGCCTGACACATGGTAGGGAACGAAGAATGTCAGTTGCTCTTGAGTAATCTGTTGATAAGAGGATACATGATGACTTTCCAGGGTCCCATCCAATTGTGAAGTATTAGTACTTGCAGCGTCCAATGTCAACTCTCCGAAATATCGTTGGAAGTATAGTGGTGGGGGAAGTTGGGATCTTTATCATAAGGAAAGGCAGTCACAACGAGGTGGGAAGAAATACAAATTCGTTCACCAAACTTCTGAATGCCTGCCCTGTGTCAGGCCGTAGGAATGTCACCGTGAACAGGGCAAGGTTCCTACTCATGTGGTGATTGTGTTCCTGTGGGGGAGGCAAACATGAAGAAGTAGGATGTGAGGTCAGTGTAGAGCTCAGAGGCCCAAGGAAGCTGGGCCAGGGGCTGGAGAGGATGGAGAGCATAAGGAGGAAGGGAGGCCTCTGGGAGAAGGTGCCATTAGAGGAGACCAGAATGCAGTGATGGGGAGTTTCAGATGAGGGCAAACGAAGAGAAAGGTTGCTGTGTGGTATGGGTGCTGAAAAGACTGGGTGTGGGCTGAGCTGAGTGTGGGGCCCAGTCTGCTCAGTGACCTGGGTGACAGACTGAATGAAGAGAGAGGGATGGTTTCTGCTGGGAGGCTTTGGGCAAATTACTCGATCTCTTTGAGCCTCGGTGTCTTTATATGTTAAATGTGAGTAATCATACTTATGTCAGAGAGTCTGTGGGAGTTCAATGACAAGGTTTAAAAGAGTGGAGAGGGAGCACAGTACAATGGTTAAAGCACAGACTTGGGAGCCAGATGTGGTTCACATCCCAGCTTGGCCACTTATAAGCTGTGTGACGTAAGGCACATTGCAAAACCTGTCTGTGCTGTACTTCCCTTACATGTAAAGTGACCACAGTAGTAGCATCTTCTTGATGGGTCTGCTGAGATGCTTAAGTGAGTTACTGTATGTAAAGTACTGGCCTTCACTGCCTGGCACAGAATATGGGCTATATGGGAGTTCTTATTAGTCTCACAGTGTGTAACACAGGGCCTGGTCCATAGTAGGAATTTAGTAAATGTTGGGGTATTTTTCTCCTCCAGGTGCCCTGAGGTTACAGAATAGCCCTTCTCTTCTTCTAGCACTTTCTCCCTTCCTCCCAGTCCTATCACTGCCTGCTAGCTTTACCCAGCAAAAATCCCAAGGAGCAGATCTCTTTTGGTAAAACTAGGTGAACCAGAAAAAATTCTTGATTGCTTGATTCTAGACTGTCACAAATCCGCCCCAGACACATGACCTGCTACTACACATGACCAAATTCCCTCACCTGCCTGAAACTGCCCTCTTTTAGTGTCTCTTCTCAAGCTGGAAAACTGCATTAAGCTGCTTTCTGCTCATAGTTGGGCCCAGGAATGAGTCAGAACATAGGCTGACCAGAGCCCTAGTGTGAGCCTGCTGGGCATCGGTTAACAGGGGGAGTTAGTTCTCATGTTGCAGGAGGGTGAGCCAGGAATATAGAAAGAATCTGCCAGTCTTGGGTTCCAACCCGGGCAGATAGTAGTGGAGCAGAGGTCCAAACCTAACTGAACCCAAAGCTGCTAAGACCGTAAGCCTGAGGTTACTTATCTTTCCTCCACCTCAGCATACTCATCTGTCAACTGGGGATAAAAAGACCTTCCACTCCAGTTTGTTATAAAAAAGTAAATGAGAAATATTTTAAAAGTAAAATGCCTGATAAATCTTGAGTGATTTAATAAGGCTGCATAAGCTCCAGAAGACCATATAAGGGAGACAGCAGTTCTACTGTCCAATAACTAAGCAGCCGTGGGTTGGCCCAGTACAGATCTCACAATCTTTATGAGTGTAAACAGTGTCAGAGTAAGATTTATATGCGAGGTTAGTCTGACGCTGCTCCTTTGGGGTAAGTAGGTGGTATGACTATACATTGATGAAGAAATAAAGGCAATCGTGTTATTGGAAAGATCTTGCCAGCAGCAGATCCAGCATTAGAATTTTAAGAACTGTGTGTGCTTCCTGACTCTGTCCCACTGTACCCTTGCTGGTGTGGCAGTGACATGTCACCCATTTTTGTTTCTTCAGACCTGACTTAACATCTTAGAGCATTCTACATATCTAGGCATCAAAGCTGAATCTATCAAAGGTGGCCCACAACCTCGTGGAGGCCCGACCCGAAGCATCAGGATCATCCTATTCGGGGTAGAGAGAGGTCACATGCACATCCATTCCATCTTTGACATCCTCGTGCCTCCATCCAAGAAGAAACTGAGAAGGCTGTCTCGGTGAGCTGAGCAGTTATCAGAAGACACTGGAAGGAGATCACCTCCAACGGGGTTCCTGGCAACTGGGAATAAATCCAGGCTGCCAACCCAAATGTGTGTGAACAGCCAGTCATCACTCTTGTCTTGCTGTGCAGCTTCAAGAAGATGAATTGAGCCAAGTTGTCTGGTGCTCCTGTCACCCAGGTGATTCCCCAGTGTCCCATTCTGCTCTCTGCTCTCAAACTTCCCTAAGTCAACTGCGACAAATGCAAGGTCTTTCTGTGGGTTTGTTTTCATTAGAAGAAGGAAGAAGAAGAGAGGGAGGAAGACGAGGAGGAAAAGCCTGCCCACGGCATGTTCGGTGCTCTTTTCAAAGGAAGCGGAGAGCATGTAGGTACTTCTAGTTCCAGATCTGTCTTACCTACCTGTTACCCATGAGCTCTTACATGACCGAATTCCTTCATCCTCTTCCAGGCCCACTCACGTGATGTTGCAGGATCTGGTTCCTCACAGGTTGGTGGACGGAGGGCCTCACTTCCTCGCTGGCTGCTGGCTGAGGCCTCCTTCAGTTCCTTGCCGCGTGGACCTCTCCACAGGGCAGCTCACGCACGGCAGCAGGCTTCCATCAGGGTGAGCGAGTGGAAAAGGAAGAGGCGAATGAGATGGAAGCCACAGTCTTTGTAACCTAATCTTGGAAGTGGCATCTCATTTTTTCTGCAGTGTCCTCTTGGTTTGAAGCCACTTAGAAGTCATTAGGTTCAAGTCACCCTTAAGAGGAGGGGATGAACGCCACAAGGCTATTCCAGAGGCTGTGTGCCACTGGTGGGAGTGTTGTCATTGTAGGATTTTTTTTTTTTTTTTTTTTAGTCCCCTACTTTTTTTCCTATGTAAATTGTTTTCAAAGAGGGCTTTGTAGCCCATGAACCCTGTCCCTGACCTCCCTCAGGACCTCCTCTAGCGATTCGGAAACCTAAACTTAGGAAGACCAATTGTTCACTATGATAAACTGTTCAATCATCACTCAACTGGCTTTGGACCATTTGACCTCAAGGCAACTGCCTCTCTGTGGCCCCACCCAAATACTCACTAAAATCATTTAACATGAGGACACAAAACATGACTTTTCTTCCCCAAGTGTGGGAGAGAGGGAAACCACCCTCAATTTACTAAAAGAACCTCAGGGTAGAAAGGGGCTATTACCATGTTATTTACAGAAACTGAACTTGAGAGACATTCAACAGAGGGAGAGAACCCTATTTTGTAATCCCCAGAGTTGTCTTTCCATCAGGTTGCTTTTTCACATACTGTCAGTGTAGGCCCGGAGTCCTGTGCATGCTTGCGAAGTGGCAGCACACCAATCTGATCCCTTTGAGGTTGATGGTCACCACCTGAAGTGGAGGACCCTAAGCTGGGGGTTACCTGTCAGCTGGGCAATTTTGGTGCCTGAATCCAGCCTGTCAAGGCTTATTTTGACCACAGTCCTGTGAGCCCATCTCACAACCCACACTCAACTTTCCACCACCTGCAAATTTTGTCAAAATATTTACAGACATAACACAGTCATCCCAGTTAGGACTGGACCTTACTTAAGGCTTTGAGGGAACAATGATGAGCACATATTGGAAAAACAGATGGCTAAACATTGGGGATTAAATCCTCCAAAGAGGTAGAGATGTAGATTTACATTTGAGGTAAACTAGCTGTTTGTTTTGAGAAAACTATTACAATGGGCCATTTAGTTGCACAGGTGTGAAGCAAGTGATTCATTACTGTTAATTGTGGAAGGCTAGACCATTATCAAGAAAGTAGATTTTACTGGGAATCCCAGCAGGCCTATTTGATTGTACATACTGCATGCATTTTGATTAGGTAAGCTACATTAGGTAAGTTTCTCTGGGCTAGTTCTCTGTAGACTTCAGTTTTCTGGAGAACTGAGCTACTTTTCTCAGTAAATTTAACAGTAAGTCATTGTTTGTTTGAAAGGACTCTATTGTGTTCTTGTTCTAGGGGCTGTTTACAGGAGCCCAGAGTTGAGACCCTGAGAACTGTGGGAAGAATCAGCAGGCATGAGTTCTAGCTCAGCCTGGAGCATTGCCACAGTTCAGAATCATCCTGACCTTGGGAAATGTATAATTGGACTATTTTCTTCTGATGATTTTGAGGGGCCATATTTCTAGGGAGCAGATGGTCACCGTGGGAGTTGATTTAATCATGGATGGAGCTTACCTTTAGAACAGAAAATAAAGATTTGGAAAGGAGCCTTGAACTTGGGTGATGGAAAATATGCCCCTCTGTCTCAGCCCCTAATTGGATAATCAGTTCTTTATTCCCTAAGGCAGGGACCCCATCTGCTGTGCTCATTACTGTATCCCCACACAGAGCATGGGGCTGAATGTGCTGCAAGCAATAAACACGTATTTGCTGAATGAATGGGCGGTAGAATGAATATATACGAATGATGTGTGTGGACCAGAATATGGCTCAAGACGTGGCACTCTTAAGGTAATTTGTACCTTAAATTACAAGACTTCTTCCTTACTCTCATTATGTTATATTTAAGACACAGTTTTTTATAGGAAAAGCAGAAAGAAATGGATCGACTTATTACCCTGCTTTTAAAGCACCATTAAATAGGTGCATTAGGACCATTTGGGTCCTATTTATAGTGTGTTCTCTGTAGCAGGGTGGAAATGGGGTGCTTTTACTTTCCAGTGCGTGGGGACACGCTCTGAGAAGTGGATATCACGATTCATCAAAACAGAAGTGACACCAAGTTCAGTCTTCGAATCACCTTCTCTCATTCATCTTAACAAAGAGTTTGCATTTCATGCTGGACCCTGAAACAAAAGTTTGCACAGGGGTCTGTCACCTGTCCCTCCGCCCAAGTGTGTTTCCTCCCAGAAGTGGGCAGGTTGCCAGACCCCTAGAGGGAGGCTGGATCCCTGCGTAAGTGGCTTTGAGGGTTGTTATTCTTCCAGAAATTATACCATGTCTGTTCCTTGCTTGGCTTTTCAGTTTCCTGGAGTTGTCCTTTTGAACATAGGGAGCAAAGCCTTGCTAAATGCTGTGGCTCAATCAGCCCCCAGTGCGAAATTCCCATTTCAATTTTCTTTTAATGCATTGGACTTTCCGTTAGTTCACTGCAGAGGGTGGATCTTCCACTCCCAGGAGACTTCTCACATTCTGTTGTTAAACAGCTGTTTCCAGAGGCCTACGATCCTCCCACCCACAGAAGACTGAAAATAGACTGAAAACAGCAGCATTTCCCTCCCCAGCAGTCTGTGCTGCCCCAGGCACAGTTAGCCCGGCCCTGCCTTTCCGTCTCTTTCATTTTCCTTTTTGGTAAACAAGGCATCAGGCTATTCTGTTTAGTTATTTTCAAAAACACTTCCGCCAACACCAGCAACGAAATCTATAAATGCAATGGATGTAAATCCGGGAAACAACCAACATCTGATGCTCGCTTTTTTGGAAAGCGTTACCTCTTCTGGCATAAAGGAGATTGTTCCGTTGACTGAGTCTGTGTCACAGATGCCCAGGGCGGATTTATGAAGGCCTGTGGAAGAGTGTCTTCCTGCTGCAGAGGCAGGGTCTGCCTCTGACAGTTCCTTTTCAAAGCTTTTTCTTTCATCAATCCTTTCTAATTTTCAGGGTTTTTCTTCCTTGAGATGAAATTCACATAATATAAAACTAACCACTTTAAAGTGAACAATTCAGTGGCATTTAGTACATTCGCCATGTGTCACCCCCACCTTTATGCAGTTTCAAAGTACTTTGATCACCCCGAAAGAAAGCCCTGTAGCCATTAAACAGTCACTCCCTATTCCTTCCTCTCCGCACCACTGCCGGCAACCACCATTCTGCCTCTATAGATTCACATATCTGGATATTGCATATCAATGGAATCATATATTATATATATATGACACTTACTTTATTCTTTCATCCACTGATGGATAGCTGGGCTGTTTCTACCTTTAGGATATTGTGAATAATGCTGCCATAAATGCTGGTGTACAAGTAGCTGTTTGAGTCCCCAGTTGCCACTCTTTTGGATACGTACCTAGGAGTGGGCCTGCTGGGTCTCATGGTAATTCTATGTTGGGCTTCTTGAGGAACCGCCAACTGTTCTCCATAGTGGCTGCACCATTTTACATTCCTATCAGGAATGTACAATGGTTCCAGTTTCTCCCCATCCTTCCCAGCACTAGCTATTTTCCACTTTTTTGATTACGGTCATCCTAATGTATTTGAAAGGGCATCTCGTTGTGGTTTTGATTTGCATTTCCCTAATGACGAACGATGTTCAACATCTTTTCAGGTACTCATTGGCCATTTGTATATCTTAGGAAAAATGTCTATTCAGGTCCTTTGCCCAGTTTTAAAACTGGGTTGTTTGTCTTTTTTAAAAAAGTGGCATTGTAAGAGTTCTTTATATATTCTGGACATGAGCCCCTTATCAGATAGGTGATTTGCAAATATTTTTTTCCATTTTGTAGGTTATCTTCTCACTTTCTTTGATGAACAAAAGTTTTTAATTCTGATGAAGTCCAGTTTCACTGACCATCTCTTACACAAGGCATGGAGCTATGGATGGAAGAGGCCTAATTATTCCTGGGTCTAGGTGACCAGCTGTCTAATTTGACCCTCAGACTATTGCAAAACTGCACCCACAAGGCTTCGTTGGAGGACCAGTTTTATTTAAGACCGTCATGGGTTTTAAAAAATATTTTACTACCTTTTGGATATTGGGAATATGTTTATAAATGACCTTATATTAGAAAAAACTACTGCTGAAAATCTAGAGCTTCCTGTGATCTGTCAGGACCCAGTCAGCCTGGTGATTAATGACAAGATGCCAAGAACTGTGATTGTATCAAATGACAGAGTGCATCCCACACGAGGGCAGTGACTCTTCTTGCTTCCTTGTTTTGTAACACAAAGAAAACCCAGACAAGGTGCTCCAGGTATGGCTGCTTTTCTCTCGCCCTCTTCAGCTGGGAGAGTCTGGCATTCATGTTCAGGTGGCCAACATATTCTGGGTGGAATGAGCAAAGAAGGCTAGGAGGAAGTGTTGGAGAGATAGTAACTGAGTGCGCCACACACCCATTTAACAGATGAAGAAACAAAGTCCTGCAGCCCAAGTAGCTTGCTTGGGGTCCTAAAGGTAGAAACTGGTGTAAGTGGCAGAAGAGCTCAGGGCTGGAAGTGACCTTTAAGGTCTCTACATTGTATCTGAGGCAACTAAGTGTAGCAGGCTGGGGCTACTGGCCCATTCAGCAGGGAGCAGGTATGGAGCCCAGGCTTGTGAACTCCCAATCCAGCCTTCTTTCCACCCAATCACTGAACTGCCGAGGTGTATTTCTAGGGACAACGATACCATTCTTCAAGTCTGTGGTGAAATTCTTTTATGAGAGTTGGGATTGGTGATGGATGAGAGAAGGCAATTTTTATCTGAATCAATGGCCTGATAAAATCAGTCTGTCTACATTTTGATGAGTCCACCCGCCCTTGATTTCACCTCTGTAAATATGTTTGATGTGCAAATTCCCAGGGAGTGAAGATATCCATGACCTAACTTTCCAAAGGTGATTGACTGCTTTTGAAAAATGTTAGCTATGCACAGTGGTTCTCAAAGCATGGTGCTGGGCCAGTGGCGGCAGCAGCCCCTGGGAAATGCAGGTTCACAAGCTCCATCCCAGACTTACTGAACCAGAAAGCCTGGGGGCGAGGTGCGACCATGATGTTTAACAAGCGCTCCAGAGCATTCTGGAACACACTCAAGTTTGAGAAGCACTGGTTTAGCAGCTGCTATTGGTGTCCTGCTTCATACCCTGAGATCCCTTTCACTCGGTGCTGCAAGCGCCACAGCTAAGAGCTCACACCAGACACCTTCCCCCGAGGATGCTCTTGGGCACCTGGAGCTGCCTCAACTGGAGATACGTGGACGTCCCCCATCCCCCCACACATGCAGGGTTGCTGGGAGCCAATTGACACATGGGGGCACATCAACAAAGCCCCTTTGCCTCAAAATGGACCAGACTCTGCTCTGCCGCTTACACTTCAGAGCTCCCAGTGGGTTAGGCAGAGGGAGGCGAGACTTCTTCTGAAACCACATCCTTGCCTCCCTCCCTCCCTTCCAGATTTCTCCCGCAAACAGCCCCCAATAAATTACATGCCCAAGGACCCCAAGCTCAGGTTTTGCTGCTGGGAAACCTGACCCAAGACAATTAGCAAGTGCACCTCATAGATATTCCTCCCATGGATGGCCGTGTGGCGCTGTATCTCCAAAGTATCAGGACAACACTTGCAGCGGGTTACTCTGCCCAGATTTGGGTCACCCATCTGCATTGCCTGAAGACTCATATCCGCAATGGTCACATCCTACCTATAATTTTGAAGGTTTCCTTGACTAGAGGGTAATTCAGTCTCATACAGATTGATTCTAGGTGACGGATGATCTCCTTTTCACCAGCCAGAATCGCTGGGATAAGTGCAACATTCAGTTTGGTTTTGCTGAGGTTGGAAATCATTGGTGAATTCAATGTGGTCATTAGAGACATCTGCATTTGTTTGGGGTCATTTCGTCTCAGGAGGCATATATGGAGTGTCCAAAGATCTTGTGCCAAGGGTCAGCTCCTCAGTGGGGAAGGGCCACAATCCGGCCAAGTGTGAGCACCAAAGGTACCCTGGAAGCTCCTCTCCCAGCCCTAAAATCCCGAGGAAGGGCTTTTCCCTCAAAGATGTTCTCTCATCTCCCTGGGCTCTGGAGTTCCTGGTTCCCACAAATCCTCAAACAGATGGTTGCAAGTTGGACTCTGGGCTTGTGGACCTTGGACCACACCCCAAATGAAACTGACCTCTAGGTTGGCCAGGAGCCACCTTTTCTAAAGTTCCTTTTCTTCTTCCAACTTGACCCAGCATCGGAGGTAAGCATTGTCGTGAAACAGTCTCATGTTTCCAGCACGGTGGAAATGAAGTGTCACAATCACCACCTCACAGGGCTGGGAAAAGCCATATGCAGATCTGCCATCTTTGAAGATGAACAGGGCAAAGCTATATTTAAAAGAATCCGTTCTCATAGCAATCCACGGTATAAGCTAGCTCTCACTGTCAGGACATTCTTTGTAACAAACCTGAAAGTCTCATCTTGCCAAGAAAGTTAATTTCCTTTTATTCAGCCTTTGCAGGACTGTCTACTGATACTCCCTGCTCAAAAGAATGACGAGGAAATGTCAAAACTCTGTTGAGAGAAATGGTATCAACAGAAGTTTATCTTAAGCATGAGCCAGCTGAGGGAGGGCCGACGGGTTATTAGGAACATGCTCTTTATGGTGTTCTTGGTGGGCCATGGGAGAGCCGACTGGATGCTGAGATCATTCTGTGCAGGATGCCCGTGAAAAATTACTTTGCCACAAAGTGTACTGATATTTACCCTTCTCAGCTTCATATTGAGGGGTCTTTGAATAAACACCCCTAGCACACCAGCAG